GGTGGCACTCACCTGCAATCTCAGCTATGCAGGAGGTTGAAACAAAAGAAACTTCAGTTCAATAGTAGTCCAGGCTTACCTGGTGAGACTCTTCCTTAAAAATAAAATTTTGAGTCAAAGGATGGGATGTGGCTCAAGGTAAATGCTGAGCACCTGCTTAGCATTAGCACACTAGAGGCCCTGCATTCAATACCCAGTACTGATGTAAAACTAAATTCACCCCTCTGCTAGGTCTATCCTAGACATATACCAATTATTACAACTGAGGGAAAGGATGGAGCCTATGTTTCTTTGGGTATGGCTTACGTCACTTAATATGATTTTTTCCAAGTCTTTCCATCTCCTTAAGAATGTCATTCTTAGCTGGGCACGGGTGGCTCACGCCTGTAATCCTAGCTACTCAGGAGGCTGAGATCTGAGTATCACGGTTCAAAGCCAGCCCAGGCAGGAAAGACTCTTATCTGCAATTAACCACCAGAAAACTGGAAGTGACAGTGTGGCTCAAGTGGTAGAGTACTAGCCTTGAGCTGAAGAGCTGAGAGACAGCCCCAGGCTCAGAGTTCAAGCCTGACAACCAATCAAAAAAAAAAAAAAAGAGGCTAATTGAAATGAAATGAACTCCAACATATGGAAACAAGTTTGTTGTTGTTGTTGTTGACCTTGTCATCATTATACTGTATCAAGTTCTTTTTTTAAATTTTTCCCTTTAGTTTATCCCCAGTAGTTTACTGTTTTTGATTCTGGCACCTTGTGTCTTATATATACGTTTATCTGATTTGGGGAAGGAAAGGGGAATGACAAAATGGTGAAACAAGGACCAAGGGTGAACCAATGCAACAGAGATACTCATAAGACACTAGGTTGGAGAGTGGGGGAGAGGGGAGGGATAGTGAGAGAAAAATGGAAGGAAGGGGTAACAATGCTCAACAAGAAATGTACTTATTACCTTAGTTATATAACTATAACCCCTCTGTACATTATCTTTACAACAAAATAAAATAAAATTTAAAAAATTTAAGAAATCCTCCCCTCTATAGTCCCAAATTAAAGACGAACAAGTTGATTCTGCCTTAATGATACTTCAGTCCATTTATCAGCCAGAAATACTCTTCAGAAGCATAACCTAATTCTGCTGTTGACTTCTGAGAGGCCTACAATGCTAATCACTTTTCCCTGACAACTACATAACAGTGACTCAACCCTCTCCTAAGGGAATACCAGGGCTAATTCTCTTGCCAGCCAAATGCACTGCTAAAAACCAGTAGCAAAACTGCACAAGATTCCTTGAAATTATACCTTCAAACAGTATCTCCCCAATCTACTTCCTTCTACAACCCAAAGTACCTCCTCTTTTTCTGTTTTCTTAATTCCATTTTAGATTTTGTGTAGCTATGCAGAACTTATCAGTGAAACCCAGTGTAGAATTTTGAGATAATTTTAATCTACTAAATCAATGATTTTAGTGGACATAAAAATATTATGTCCATTAAGAACAAAGTTTATTTTTTTACCAATCTTGTCCTTTCTTTAATAGCATTCGTCAGTTTCAGGGGTCAGAACACTATGACCTTTATGTTGTCTGTATTTGGAAGTGAAGTTTTATTGAGCAACACAGCCATAGCCACTCATTATATATTATGTATGGCAGAGTTAAGGAGAGGTGGTCATTTGGCCCAGAAATCCCCAAATATTTGCTTATCTGGTTATTAACAGGAAAACTATGCCAATTCCTAATCCATTTCATCTAAATTATCATATTTATTTACAACAAGTGTGCATAATTTTTACTTCCTATCCTTTATATTTGTCTTTAAAAATTATAGTAATGGCTCCATTTTCATTCCTGATAATACTGAACATGTTCTCTTTTTTTTATCATCCACACTGTAAGCCAACTTACTGATCTTTTTGGCTTGTTCAATATTCTACTATATGGTTCATTTCTATTTTACTAATTCCCACTCTGACATTTAGTAATTTCTTCCTTATTCTGATTTTATTTGGTATTCTTATGATTTGTTGAGAAACAAACCTATTTTCCAATAATTTTCATTTTGGAAAATACACATTTTAGAGCTATGTTTTACTTTTAAGCACATTGGCTGAATCCTACCAGTTATGTCAGAAAATCACTATCTTCACTTCAAAATATTTTCTAGTTTGTAATAGGACTCCTTCCTTAAACCAAACATATGGTACTTAATTTCTAACTAGAAAAGTCATTGCCTCAAAGCAGAAGGTTAGAGTGAGGAATAGTAGGAGGAAAGTGTTATAGAAAAACTATGATGAGTTAAGATTTAACCTACTAGGGTGATGACAGTAGCCTAAATCTTAAAAGAAGTTTAATTTACATAGTTGTATATATTTGTCAAAACTCAACAGATACACATACATATGTGATTTGTGCACTTAATTTTCTGTAGCTTTTACCTAAAATGTTTAAATAATTATTGAATTTCATTTGATATAAATACTAAAGTGTTTAATGGAAAGTAGACTGATAAATGCAATGCAGTTTGAAATGTATTCACAACTAAAATGATGAATGGTGAGATAGAAGGGTTAGATGAATACACAGAAAAGATTAATGGTAGAATGTAGGTCAACATATACAGGTTGTTCACTGTAGACATATGAGGAGGACTTTTAAGTTTTTTATATAATTTTATAAGTGAATAATCTTGGCTTTCTTTTTTACACATAAAACTAGCCATTAAAAAATTCTGCTGTTATTTCATATCAATTGTCATTTGAGCTGTAGTAAACAATATACAGCACAGTTAATCCCAAATGGAAGGAGTTCAATAAGGGGTCTTACAAATGCATAGTACTAGTACTTGTTCTTCAGAAAATGCACATTACATTTGGTATAGACTTCATGTTTCCCCCAGGTTTTCTGTACCACCCATTCCCATCTGGCAATAGTTTTTTGTCTTTAAAGTTCCTTTCTACCATTTGGGGAATTTTCATTTTCAGCATCAATGAAAAAGAAATCCACTATGCTCCATTGCACATCAGAGCAACAAACTTTTTTTAAGTTATCATTTAAGAAAATTGGAAACTATCTCCATAATTAAATGGCTATGGGAAAACCTCATAATGTGCAGAGGCTATGATAGTTTAAGCAAAATAAAGGAAAACATTAACTAATTTTTCTAAACCATCAAAATGGTTTGGATTGTGTCCCAATTTTAAGCGAATATCAGCCAAACCAATTCTGCCAGTGGAAACTCAAAACAAAACACATAATTATTAATATTTATTACATTCCCAGAACAGCAGCTGAAAAAAAAAGGCTGCCATTAACAAGTACTTCTGTAGATTGAACAGACACTTCTACAACAGGTTTCACACCATGAGGAACAAACCAGGGCAGTTATCAATAAGAAAAAGACACACACACAGAGTCATTCCAGCACTTGAGATGCTAAAGCAAGAGGATCTTGACCAGGGCAGTTATCAATTAGAAAAAGACACACACACACACACACACACAGAGTCATTCCAGCACACAGACACACACACACACACAGACACACACACACACACACACACACAGACACACACACACACACACACAGACACAGACACAGACACACACACACACACACAGAGTCATTCCAGCACTTGAGATGCTAAAGCAAGAGGATCTTTAGTACCAGTTCAGCCTGGGCTATTTACACACATACACACACACACACAGTCATACACACACAGTCATACACACACACACACACACACACACACACACACAACACACACACACACACACACACACACACACACACACACACAGAGTCATTCCAGCACTTGAGATGCTAAAGCAAGAGGATCTTGAGTACGAGTTCAGCCTGGGCTATTTGGTTAGACCCTTACAAAAAAGAACAGAAAGATAAGGAATCTCTAAGCACAAAAAGCCAGAAGATTTTGTAGTTTTTGTCTATAAAGACACCCAGAAGACATCTGCCTACTAAGTTGTAGTGTATTTACCTTTGAAAAAGTATATTTAAGTGATATAAATTATAGACTAGTGCAAACTACTAAAACTATTTCAAAAAGGAACAGACATGCTGAATGCTTTATAAATATTGTACCAAGTTAACACCAAGCCTAAATAGTTTAATAATAAAGAATATGGGGGGGGGAACCTTTCCACTCCATTCCATTCCATTCCATGAAACTAATATACCCTACTGTCAACATAACAAAGGAAAATTGCACAACAATCTGATTCATGACAAAATGTAGTCAATCAAGTATTGCTAAATTGAATATAATTAACAGGTTTATCTCATAAACACATGGCTATGTTAACATTAGAAAAATCTATTACTCTGAAATATATGATTAAAATTCATGCAACTTCCAAAATTAATATTAATGGAGCTACAAGTTCTTTTCATGAACTGTCTACCCAGGAACTGCTAAATTCTGCAATAACACTAGCATTATTTTTTTTGAAAACAAGAAGGAAGAAAACATATATTCAAGTTTTAGATGAAACAGGAATCACTTTTTGTTTGCACTGATGAGCATATATTCTTTAATCCACAAGAACAATCTCAAGTATTTATAAAAGAAAATCCTTTCTGAAGATTATTTCAATTTAATCAGGATTTAAAGAAAATAGAACTTTTATCCTTATCATCCTTCAATGAAATAAGTTGAGTTTTAATATCTTAATCAGAAGATAGAGGGAAACAATAACACTGAGAGTTTGATGTCCCGTGGTCTTCCTTAATAACCCACTTTCAAGAGACCATAATCTGCCCAACAGAAAGCCTTCTCTCAAGGATCTTAATCAGATTCTGAGAAAATTCAAAGCCAAAATAAACAATATTAGACCAAAACCAAAACAACATAGGTATTACCATCTATACAGAAGGCTAACCTCCCCTGATGAGTCATTTTTTAAAATGATGAAAGTCTTAAGTCTTTGAAGTGTTTTCTATTCAAGCTGGAAGATATATAAAGGTAGGGAGTCCATTAGCAAACAGGATGACTGTGAAATTTTTCATTTCACACATCCTGTTTTACTTTATGCAAACATTATACTGAGAATGGCAAAAATGAGTCTCTCTTCCTATGTATTAATACTAATTTTTTCTTTGTTTTCTCAAGGTATCTTACTTTCAGACTCCAAGTCCATACGAAATTTAGAAGATGACATGGTACTTAATACATTTAGGATGGGAAAAGCCTTTCAGAAGGAAGATACTGCAGAAAGATCAGTTGCTGCTCCTTCTCTGGAACAATACAAAAATGATGAGAGTAGTTTCATGAACGATGAGGAAAACAAAAATTCAAAGGTAAGTAGCAATGTTATTTGTCTTGTGTTGCAATGTAGATATTTTTATAAAATTATACATTGTCTGAAAAGTAAAATTGGCATTTTAATTTTATCGATAGAAATATATGCAAATAAGAAGCATTAAGACAGGAGATGAAATTTCGTATGCACCTGGTGGCTATTCTATCCTAAAGAATATTTCTTAGCCAAAGGGCTACTTTTGTTCTCCAATAATCTTATAACCAAAGGTATTTTTGGAGTCAAAACAGTACAGAGTATTTCAGAATTGATTGATAAAGATGTTATATAATTGAGTTATAACTTTTCTGTAAAAAGAGCTGAAATACAAACCAACCTTCTCTTTGCAGAACATAGGCTCCAAACATAATTTCGTAAATCATGGTCTGCCGCTCAATCTGGCTATAAAGCCTTATCTTGCACTAAAAGGATCTGTAGCTTTTCCAGCTGAAAATGGAGTGCAGAATACTGAATCCACACAAGAAAAGAGAGAAATTGGAGATGAAGAAAACTCAGCTAAGTTTCCTATAGGAAGGAGAGATTTTGACAGTGAGTAGCTTTTTTAAAAATTCAATTCTCACAATGCTCAAGAAATGTACTCATTACCTTATTCATGTAACTGTAACCCCTCTGTACAGCATCTTTACAATAACATAAAATTTTAAATAACAAATAAAAAATTCAATTCTCACATCCTAATACCATAAGAAAGGACTCTGAGTTTAACCAAATTTGAATCTAATCATAACAAAATCAAATAACACCATGGTTCATTTCCACTTGATGTTAAGTGACCCTGTCAAAAATGTGGCATGAAAAAGTAGTTAGTAATCATGACTTTGATTACTCAGAATTAGTAACAGCTAGGTAGGTTTCTTAATTTTATGTGATAATTCTAGTCCTTTAAATAATTTAAACTTTTTTTTTTCCATTTAGTGCTCAGGTGTATGCTGGGAAGAGTCTACCGACCTTGTTGGCAAGTCTGATACCTGTTAGTCTACACTTGTCTATTCGGGAGGGAAAAATCATTTGTCAATGAGAAAAAACCCTTGACATTACTGTAACTTGTATATTGCTTTAAATGGTTGTAAGAAAATAGTATTAACATAGATGAGTATTCTAAATGATATGCTTTCTCTGTGCATTAAACTTTGTGAAAATCCTGAATAATTTTGTCTTATGGGTATTTTTTAACAATGGTGTGTACACATGAACTTTACAAATACTTCAAACAAAAACATATAACTTTGGTAAATGGTTTTATAGGAAAAAAAAACTATAAATTTAAAGCACATAAAAGACAAAATCATAGTCTGAAAAACTGAGTTAACTTTGTCTGGCCAGCAATCAGTTTGTTCTTGGCAGTAAAGTTATTGCCTCCTTTTGCTGCGTGAGCTGGTTTGCTACTCAATTTATTCTGTGGCTCGTTCAATGTCTTAAGTGTTTTAAGATTTTTATGTTGAGGTAGTTCATTTCCATTATCACAGACAATATTTTCATCATCCAAGTCCACCTGCTTCCTTTTGGAGCATTTATTTCCTTCCTGACTACTTGCTTTTCTTAATATTTGGTTGTTTTTATTTCTGTCCAGTTGAGTATTTCCAGAGCTTATTTTCATTGTTGATCTTCCAATAGATGAATATATGCCCTCTGTTATGCAAAATAAAAAGGAGAAAGGAATCATATAGTATTTAGTAGTATTATGCATGATAATTTAGGACAAACTTCTCAAATGGCTAATGATGCTCAAATATTGATGCTTTATAATAAAACAACCAATTAAATGAATAATAAGCACAGATATGTTATATGAGCCTTCATTTTACCTGTTACCTCATCCCTACCAACAAATATTTGAACATATACACTTAATTCTTAAGCAAAGGCTATTATTTCTCAAATCCATCAAGCTAAATTAAACTGGTCCTTATTTCTACCCTTAAATTTTTACTTAAAGTTCCGAATAAATCTAGAACTAAAAATAGTAAGCCTTTCTTTATTTTTTAAGTACATCACAGGAATAATCTAATGTTATTAATGTTAAAAACAACTGGAAAATTTAATTAAAAAAAAGAAAGAAAGACACAGAGAGTTTGAAGAAGTCCCAGCCTCCAGTGAGGAAAAGTATCCTGGGAAGATTATGTCTATAACAATAATAGCTAAGTTGTATAATATAAAGAACATTAAAGACTATCACAAGCAGGAAAAAAAAATAGAAACTGGGAGCCTAGAAAGCATGAGGCCCTAAATTCAATCTCTAATCCTGTCAACAAACAAAACCATTGTTAGATAAGAATTAAATTGTTATTTAATTGCTCAAATAAAATTACCACAAAGGTCATTTTCCTCATGAAGAGCACGCAAAGGCTTTGATGCAGAACTGGCATTATTCCATTTATCCTTGCTTATCGTATAGTCATCTTTGTAAGTACAAGCAAACTGTGATCTAATTAAGGGTTGCTTCATCTGATAACAGAAACGAGACAACAGGCAATTTAAGCTTTATTTTTTCAGATAAATGTACTCTATACAGTAAATAGCATATCATAAAAAAATTTCCTTAAAACTTCTATTATTTATGAAAACTTTGAATGTTTTATGTTTCATAATTTTCAAACTCATTCAATGCTATGGCTGTTCTTTTCAGCAATTTTAGTTTTAGGTGACCTTTGAGGATAGGTGAAGGAAGAGGAAGGTAAGGGAGGGAAGAACAGGAGGAAGAGGAGAGGGACAGAGAGGGAGGAAAAAGAGGGAAGAAAAGAGAATTTACTTTGTAAACATTAAAAAGGGCCATGGCTCATGCCTGTAATTCTAGCTACTCAAGAGGATGAGATTTGAGGATCAAGGTCAAAGCTAGCCAGGACAGGAGAGTTTGTGAGGCTCATCTCTAGTTAACCAAAAAAAGCCAGAAGTGGGCTGTGGCTCCAGTGGTAGAGTGCTAGCCTTGAGAACAAAAGTTCAGGGACAATACCTAGGCCCTGCGTTCAAGCCTCAGGCCCTGCACAAAAATAAATAAATAAATAAAATAAGGCTATTAAAAAAATAATGTTGAAACTAGTAAGCCTGCCAACAGACGGGGAGAAAATCTTTACCAGCATATATATACACATATATATACATACACACATATGTATATATATTTGTGTATATATATATATATATATATATATAATGGAATTATATGCTTCAGAAAGAATGACACCACACCATTTGTAAGGAAATGTAAAGACTTGGAAAAAATCATATTAAGTGAAGTAAGCAGACCCAAAGAAACATAGGTCCCATGGTTTCCCTTATTTGCAATAAATAGTATGCATTCTAGGATAATCTTAGCAGATGAGCAGAATAGCTCAATAGCTATGCCCATATGACCATATAAGATGATGCTAAGCAAAATGAACTCCAAGACATGGACACAAGAGGTTTTTCTTTGTTGTTGCTGTTGTTTTTAATATACTATGTGATTTCTTGTTTCTTTTGTATGTTCTTCCCCTATGGTATATCTCATGTTGTCACTGTATTTGATTTCAGCACCTGGTATTGTATATACATTTATCTGAATTAGGGAAGGGGAACAACAGAATGGTGAGACAAAGGACAGGAGGAACCAATGCAACAGCAATATACACAAGGCAATATGTTGGAAACGATCTATTCAACTTGGGTGGGGGAAGGGGAAGAGAAAGTAGAGAAAAATGAGGGAAAGGGTAACAAGTTTGACAAGAAATGTACTTACTACTTTACTTATGTAACTGAAACCCCTCTGTATATCACCCTGACAATAAAAAAAAAAGAGCATACTGGATCAAAAAAGAAAAGAAAAGAGGGCTGGGAAGGTGGCTCAGTGGTAGAGCGCTTGCCTTGCATGCTCGAGGCCCTGGGTTCGATTCCTTGGCACCACATAAACAGCAAATGCCGGAAGTGGTGCTGTGGCTCAAGTGGTAGAGTGCTAGCCTTGAGCTGAAGAGCTGAGGGACAGTGCCCAGGCCCAGAGTTCAGGCCCCACGACCGGACCCAAAAAAAAAAAAAAAAGAAAAGAAAGAAGAAGGAAGGAAGGAAGGAAAGAAAGAAAGAAAAAGGATCTTGCCGGGCGAGAGTTGCTCACACCTATAATCCTAGCTACTCAGGAGGCTGAGATCTGAGGATCACAGTTCAAACCAGCCCAGGAAGAAAAGACCATGAGACTCATCTCCAATTAACTACCAGAAAACCAAAAGTGGTGCTGTGGCACAAGTGGTAGTCTTGAGCTAAAGAGCTGAGAACAGCACCCAGGCCCAGAGTTCAAGCTCCACTACTGACAAAAAAAAAAAGAAAAAGAAAGAAAGAAAAAAAAAGAAAAGACAAAGAAAATCTTTACCAGTAATACATTTGACAAAGGCCTAATAGGCAAAATATACAAGGAGCTCAAAAGTTCAACACCCACAAAAAAACTAATTAATCAATCAATAAATGGGCTAAGGAGCTTAAAAGAGACTTCTTAGAAGTAAGAATGGCAAATAGAAGAAATGGTCAACAACATCCCTGGTCATTAAGGAAGTGCGAACCAAAACTACTTTGAGATTCCATCTTACTCCAGTTAGAATGGACAATATTGAGAATTCAAATAAATGCTAGCAGGGGATGTGGGGAAAAGGGAACCCTTTTGCACTGCTGGTAGAAATGTAAACTAGTACAACCACTCTGGATGGTGGTTTAGAGGTTCCTCAATAAACTAAACATAGAACTTCCCCATGACCCAGCCATACCACTACTCTTGGGCATCTACCCAGAACATTACAAGTCCAGATATAGTAAATACACTAGCACATCCATAATCATTGCTACACTACTCACAATAACCAAGTTATGGAAACAGCCAGATGTCCTATAACAGATGAGTTGATCAGTAAAATGTGGTATATATACACAATGGAATTTTACTCATCTATTAGAAAGAATAATAAGATTATATCATTTACAGGGAAATGGACCTAGAAACAAATCATGCTATGAGGTAAGCCAAGCTCAGAGAGACAAATGGTACACATTTTCTCTCTCTCTTTTTTTTTTTGTTGGCTGTGGGGCTTGAATTCTGGGCCTGGGCACCGTCCCCGCGCTCTTCAGCTCAAGGCGAGTGCTCTACCACTTGAACCACAGTGCCACTTTCGATTTTCTAGTGTTTATTGGAGATAAGAGTCTCACGGAGTTTTCTGCCCGGGCTGGCTTTGAACCGTGATCCTCAGATCTCTGCCTCCTGAGTAGCTAGGATTACAGGCGTGAGCCACCAGTGCCCGGCCACATTTTCTCTTATGTGTGGAAACTATATCTAAAATATAACTGGAGATGATAACTTATACCTGTCAGAATAAAGGAGGATACCTTTAGGGAAGGAACACAAAGATGTACTTTGCTAAACATCTAAAATACTATTTATTGAAATGAATTTCAGGAATAGAAACGGGGTTTTTGTTGATGGTGGTGGTTATGGTGGTGTTTGATTTTGCTTTGGGGGATTTATTTAGTGGGACAAGAGAACTCAGAAAGAGAGGGAGGAAAGGTGAACAAATGTAGTCATGCTATTCAGTATACACTGATCTGTGAAAGCTTGTGGACAGGGATGAAAGGGAGAAACAGGAAAACAGAAGGAAGTAGTGACATTGTCCAAAAAATGAAATGCACTTATTACCTGATTTATGAAATGGTAACCCCTCTATATAACACCTTAAAGATAAAAAAATACATATTTCTTAAAAGTAGTGCTGGGCTGAGAGTGCGGCTTAGTGATAGAGTGTTTGCCTAGCATATATGAAGTCTTGGGGTTGACTTCTCAGTACGACATAAACAGAAAAGGTTGGAAGTAGTGCTGTAGCTCAAGTGAGTGCTAGTAAACAAAAGAAGCTTCAGGGACAGTGCCAGTTCCTGAGTTCAAGCCCCAGGACTGGCAAAAGAAGAAAAAAAAGTAGTGTTGAAAATGTATTCTGAAAATATAAAGCCATTAAGTTGTTTAATAGGTAAGAATTAAGTAGCCTATACACCCAATGCAAGTTTCAGCCATTATAGTTGGACTGTAACCATTCAGATATAATGGGGATAATTTTCCAAGTAATTTGAAGTCACCTCAAATCCTTTTAACACTTCAAAGTATAATTATATTGTGCTGAATGTTACTTTGAATGTTTCTTAATT